ATAGTCTTTCCTAGGAAATTTTCTCATGGGGGTAGTATATTATCTAACAAAAACCACTATGTGGTAACACTTTCCCTGCCAAGTCAGCAATCCAAGAAAGATAATAAATCATTCCTTTTCCCGCCAAGAAAAGCAATGTAATGTATGGCTTGTTAAATACTTCAAAACATTAATGACATCTTTGCAATGGCAAAAGTTTACTGTTAATAAAAGCCAAAGTGAGAGTGGAAGGAGACCTATCTGAGGAGTTTTCCATCAACACGGGTGTAAGACAAGGAGATGGCATATCTCCCATACTATTCAACTTAGCACTGGAAGAAGCCCTGCAGAAAACAAAAGAACTAGGATTGGGTGTTAAGCTTGGAGTAGATCTAAACATTTTGGCATTTGCTGATGATGTGGTCATTTTGTCAGAAACAGTTGAAAACTTGGTAAGTTTGGCCGAAGTACTTATCACAGAAGCTAACAAAATAGGATTGCAAGTAAATGTAGAAAAAACTAAAATCATTAACTTTGGAAGACAAGCAAACAATAGAAACAGAAACATACAGATAAAGAACTTAACTATAAATTGTACAGAAAGTTTCAAATATTTAGGAGTAACTGTAAATAGTAGAAACTCAGAAGACGAAGACATATTAACTAAGTTATCAAATGCCAATAAGTGTTGGGGAGCCTGCAAGAAGTTGATCTCATCTAAAGTATTATCTCACAGAACCAAAATACAGTTATATAAGACAATAATTCAACATATTCTGTTATATGGTAGTGAAACATGGGTATTGTCCAAGAAAAATGAAAACCGACTCATGGTGTTTGAAAATAAAGTACTTAGAAAAATATTTGGTCCAGTACAGGAGGGACAGATGTGGAGAATAAGGAAAAATAGAGAGTTAAGATCACTATACACCGACCCAGATATTGTTGCAATAGTTAAAGGAAGAAGGTTAAGTTGGATAGGGCATGTGCTAAGAAGAGAGAAAGGAACAAGACTGTATGAAGTTTGGAGAGCCACACCTGGAGGTAAACGTCCATTGGGAAGGCCAAAATTGAGATGGACTGACCAAGTATTGAACGACATCAGGACAATGGGTGCAAGTGTCAACTTGGCAGAAGACAGAGAAGGGTGGAAGAGGCTGGTACACGAGGCGAAGAATCAACTGAGATTTGTGGAGCCACGGCAGTAAGTAAGTAAGTAAGTATACATTACATTGTTTTTCTTGGCGGAAAAAGCAATGATTTATTATCTTTTTTGGATTGCTGACTTAGCGGGGAAAGTGTTACCACTTAGTGGTTTTTGTTAGATTTTATTTATTTTTGTAGAAAATTAACAGTTAAAATAAAAGTCCTCTTTTCTTTGAAAAAAATTAAAATAAATTTTATTTGTAACAAAGTAATTCTGTTAAAACAAACTGAGCTGATGGAATTTAACTACAATTGATTACTGCTGCTTCAACTGTTCTGATAATAACAGCATGTACAAATTCCTTGATCCAATGGGCCATCTTTGCTTTGCTATGTGTTCATCATTGGATGCTGTATAAAATATGTTTGCATCTGGTGGCCTACTTAGCACCAATTTATAATTGACTTAAAATTCAGGCAAAAATTAACAATTTTAAAGTTTATTTTTTTATTTTTTGTAGGGTTATATTTAATTTTTTTGGAAAATGTGTATAAAAGACATATCCTTCCAATATAAAGAATAAAAGAAGCCATCTCTTGTAATGTAAGCATTTTATTGAAATAAATTAAAGGGTAATTTAGTTAAATTAAAAACAGTTTGGGTGAAATATATAGTACAACTACATCTCATTTCTTTCATTTAAATAATATTTTTTGTGTAGAACTAATTTCTACATTTTTGGTCTTATCTGCTTTAAACCGATTAAAAACTTTTTGACACACGTACCAAAATTACTATTTAACAAACCCCCTGGGCTTAAACTCAGTTTCAAATTGCTACGTTTGAAGTTTTTGAAAACACGTGTTAAACGTGTAGTCAACAGGGCGGTTTTTTTCTATTTCTGATTTTGTCAAGAACATTTTTTATTTTACACTAAACACACACTTTGCAACTGCATTAAATTAATCTAGTCATCATCTATTACCGTAATATAGGTTCTGTGTCTGGGGCTGTAAATTCATCAATGTTCATCTTGAACAACATAAAATGCGTTGGTGTTACATAAGTGTTCTGATAATTAAACTTGTACATCTAAAGACTAGTGTAAATTGAGCCCTTATTATAGAAGTAAAAATGTAATCAAACAGTTTAGGTTGGTTAGAAATAGCATAAGGCAAAACTAATATTGAAAAACTCATTCATCCTAAATTTACATATCACTTTTTAATTGCTTGTTTTCCCGATTGTTTTATTTGTTTTACTGTATCAAAACATAACACAAACCTTAGTACTATAGTTCGGCCGCTTAGAAAGCGACCTCCTCTAGCATTGGTTTAGCATTAGCGCGCAGGTCGTTTTCTAAGCGGCCGAACTATAGTACTACGTTTCAAGTTCCTAGGTTTCATATGTTTTGATAAGTAGTATTAAACTGTTAAAAATGACGAGCTGCTGTACCAATGTACCATGGGTACACTGCATTTTTCAATGGAAAGTATCGGGGAATATCACTGCTCTAAGTAATTGTATATATAGTTCGGCCGCTTAGAAAACGACTTGCGCACTAATGCTAAACCAATGCTGGAGGAGGTCGCTTTCTAAGCGGCCGAACTATAGTAAGTAGATCAAATCATTCGGTATGCCTGAAAAAAAAACTTTATACAAGTTTTAAAATAATTATATCAGCTCTTCCTATGAATTTGTCTAACATTTAAATTAATTGATATTTAATCGCAGCTGGTCCTTCTTTTGTTTTGATTTTAATCCCATGTTATTTAAATGGGCCAAAATCGTACTTTGAGGGCTTGCCAAGGGTTTATGGGTCAACGCACCACCGACTTGAGACCCTCAAAAGGCACATCTACAAGTTAAGGGCTTTCAAACAACATAAAAAACATTAAAATTTAGCCAGTGGTTTGGGCTGTAGGTCCGTCAACATTCAAGGAGAAGGAGAAGGAGAACACGGAAAATATGTAAATTTTCAAACTAGTTTTTCTTGGCTCAAACACAACCGTTTTTCAAATTCTTTTTAATTATTTTGTTGAGAATGAGTGCCCCTATCCAGTAGATGAATAATTATTTTAATAGCTTTTGTTTCTTCAGAGCTATAGACGAGTAAAAAAGCCACTTTTTCACGTCATGTATATATACACTTCTGCAGCAGCTTTGTACCGCTGGGGGACTTGCGGAACGCTACCACGTTCCTTAATTTCTCCTTTTGTCAGTGTATTGTATTACATAGGTACTTTATTTATGATTATATACTATCTACACAAATTAATTGTTTATGTATTCCAGCTATATAAACCCCTGCAAAGCTTAATTAATCTCTCTGCATTTAATCTTTTATTTTTGTTTTTTTACACAATAAATAATTTATTTTCTTTGAATAGTTACCAAGCAAAACGTTTTTCATTTTGTAAACGATTTCAGAAGCTAGGTTTCTATATTGCTTTCCACAATATTAATAGAATTGTGTTATCACATCAACATTCAGACTGGAGTCGGAGACTATGATGCTTTTATTGTGTTAGATGGTTTAGTAAATATTTTTTACTAGTAGGCCTACTTAATAGAAACACCGGTTTATTTCTTCGAAGTGCAAGTTATTTTAGTTAATTTAATCACTTAACAACAGCTTTTATCAATAAGATAGACAAATAAACAAGGAAATATTACGGCATTCTCATACCTAAAACTCACTTCTCGCGTCTATATTTTACACGAATCATTGTCTTATTCTTAAAGTTTTTTACAAATCTAAGTTCATATTCGTGAAAATGTTTTGAGAATTGTTTTAAGTCTTATTTGACCGAAGAATAGCAGGAAGCCATTGTTGCTTAAGCGGCGGATCACTTACAATCTTAGAACACTGTACGTATTATTAATTTTTAATTGAGCTATCGTAATTAATTTTGCATCCAGGCACATCACATCTATCTGGCATGCTGTAGTAACAAGTTCAATGTAATTACTAATGTAATGATTAAGGGTAGTAGAAACGCGATTATGTACGTAGAGTACGCGACTCCTCCATTCACTGTAATGGTAAGACGACCGCGCACCAAGACACGGATGCAACGTTGCCACTTTTCGCTCGCCGCGGCCTTGTATTAGAGGTGGCTGTGATTACCCCCCCCCCCCCCGTAATACCCCGTTACTATGGTCCAACAATTATGCTGGTTAGCGAACTCATTCAAGTCTATCCCGCCTTACACCTTTAAACCAAATTTGAACGAATGGTGTTTTTGGCCTCTATGGGGATATTAAAATAAAAAGTTAATCGGCCTCGGGCCTAGGTTTAACGTGCCACCTACGTAAATGACTAATTTTGAAATGAAATGAAATTAAATGAAATGCTTTATTGTCGTTAAAACTGAGTACAAAGTTCATGACAATCGTCAAAAGAAAAAGAAAAAGAAAACAATCTATTGACTTCCTTATAAGGAAATTCGCTAAAACGGGGGAAAAAATTTCTTAACAAAATGTAGTGCAACCCACCATTGCTGTAAAAATTATGTTTCAAGAGTTATTGCAACTTTTGTGATTTTCCCTATAAAATAGCATAGTTAACCCACCGCTTACCCACGATAAAGGTAAACGTTGTTGTGTTGACATGTTGTTGGGAGAAATTATGTGTCAGATTGTCGATAATGTTTATTTATTTTGATATTTGTTGGATCTATGTCATTAGTTCTAGAATTTTGGACCATTAATAACTGATTTTGAAACAAAATATTATAATCAATGTCAATAGTCACTTTGATAAAAGCCTCATTATTGATTATTACCATGGTGAAATCCTTGGCCTGCCAATGTCGCCTTTAAGTTTGTACTCTATGTCATGTCTATGACTTGCTGTTTGAAACCTAACCTTAAACTGTGCTGTGTCTGTGTGTGTGTGTGTGTTGTAGTCTGTTCTGTATCTGTGCGTTTGTTATCGGTTTCGGTGACGACAAAGCCAAAGAAAGCTGAAGTAAGTCCAGAAGTGTTGGATTAATAAAATATTTATCATGGTAAGTAATTTAATACTTTAATAGCTATATTCATAAATAATAAGACGATTTTCTCCCCTCATATCATGTTTACTTCACATTTATCATAAGCTCCGTTTTAGTAGCCTAGAATCTAATTCTCTTGAACATAGGCCTTAGGCCTAATAATTTGTAGAGTCCGGTGACAAAGATAAAGAAGTGTTATTGTATTGTTATTATTCTTGGTAGGTAATTTACTTCATTATTTATAATTGAAAGAAATATTACTGAATGTTAGGTGAATTTTCAAACAATGTGTAGACTATTGTCCACTAAAGTCTGTAAGCCACTAAAGTCGACTAAGTTTCTTTTTCAACGTCAATTGAAGGCCATCCGCACTGTATTTTTCCCTCCTACTTAAATGTCAATCCTACAGTAGGCCTACAGAAACTTTAAACAAATTCTGAATTCTAAACTTTCTATTCATGTAGGCTACATTTTTGAAACATTATCCTTCACTAATAAAAATAAATCTTCTTTTTATTAGCAACTTAACAACAGATATACATTTAGTAATTCTTCCGACCTTGCAATTCCTAATCACTCAACATCATTCATCTAAAAGATTTTTCAATACAATTCCGTCAAGCTTTTTAATGACCTTTCTCCTTCTCTAAAGACTGAACAGGATTTAAATGAATGTCAGAAAAGCCTAAAGAGTTTTTGGCTGAATAATGCCTTCTGCAGCGTGCTCGTGAATTTCTTTGGCCTAAAACTGGTAGTGTAAATACAGTAGCATAGTTGTTAGTGTCTCTAGGCCTACCTATGTTTTTGACTGTAGCTAATGCATTTTTTGTATATTTGGTTGAATATTGGGCTTATGACTTATAACTCGCAAGCCATAATCTTTTTTTGATTCAAACATGTTTTACACTCAGTCCGTATGCATTTGTTTTCACTTCACCTACTTAATAACATTGATTGAGACTTAGCGGGACAGAAATTTAAAACATTCTTACTAGGCCTACCAGAATTGAGCAAACAAAGGAAGAATCTTAGGCCTCCAAAAGTTAAACGTAACTTACCTTGTCCGTCTTCAGTCTATCTTTACAGTAGTCTACCCTAGTCAGAGGAATACAGGATCAGGTATTAAACCCATGCCCATATGGTCAGGAGCTAATATGATTTAATGACTTATTAATTACCCTATAATACTACTTCTAGCAGAATTCCCGTCAACTTAAACTTATGTTTTAATTTTTAGTAAGTTTTTAAGCTAGACATCAAAGTTTCTTGCGAGTAACTATCTGTAGTCAAAGGTTAAAATAAATATCGTCAATTTTAAACTTAGTTATATTTGCTTATATTAATGTTGACCTTCTTGTCTTAAGTAGGCCTGATATAATTTCTCTGTCTTATTTGAACTAATTAACTATATACTTAGGCAACTTAGTAACAAAATTTGTCATTCATTAAAAACACTTTTTCTCTAATTAGGAGCCATCATGGCCAAAAACTTAAAAAAAAAATACTGAAAAAGCCACTCCTCTTAAACTTGATCTACTGTCACATGTCAAAACCCATCAAACTGAAAAGAGGCAGGTTTAGTATAATTTTAATGAATTCCTATAGCTTGCCATTGAAAAAGTAGGTAAAGTTACCGTCCCTCATTCAGAGATATACTAGGTGGCGTTTGCAGAGGCATCCACAAAATTGAGCGGAGTCATCAAGAGTTTATATTATATTGTTTTGGTCATACTACAGTAATACCAGTTGTTTTTAAAGCATGCGTTGCGGGTCTAAAGTAGCATTTTTACTCTTTAGGAAGTAAAAATAGTTTGTATCCTCTATGGAGTAAAAATCAGCTGTTGTCAACTCAGTTGTAAATTTCTATATTGTAAACGATTGCATGTATCGAAATATGTATCGATTCGTGCTTCGTAGTTATTTTAACCTACAGTCTACAATCTCTTCCCATAGCCTTTTAGCATTGCAGATACAATAATCCATTCCCACACTCAACACGCTCATCTTTACTACTTCCTTCACCACCCCCAACGTCGTGGACCTGTTTCCCTCTCTTAACATAGCATTTTAGGATTGCAGATACATTAATGTAATTGCCAAAGATTCCCACACTCTGCACTGCAAGCCTTACTACTTCCTTCACCATTTCCTACGTCAGAGACTTGTTTCCTTCCCTTCTCATAGCATTTTTGGATTAAACATACATTAATCTAACTACCACAGACAGTTTTCACACTATGCTCATACTTTACTACTTTCTAAGCCATTTCCTACATCGTGGACCTGTTTTCACCACTTTCCATAGCAATTTTAGTATTTTAGATACGTTAATCTAATTGCCACAAACATTCCCCACACTCCGCAATGCTAGCCATTACTACTTCTTTCACCATTTTCTATGTCGTGGGGATGCTTCCATCCCTTCTCATAGCATTTCAGCAACTGCTACAAACTGTTTCCAGTTTCCACACTCCACACTGCTCACCTTACTACTTCCTTCACCTCTTCTTACGTCGCGGACCTGTTTCCCTCTCTTCCCATAGAATTTTAAGATTGTAGATACCTTAATCTAATCGTCATAAACAGATCCCACACTCCGGACAGATCACCTTGACGACTGCCTTCACCTCTTCATACGTCTCGGACCTTTTCTCTCCCTTCCCATAGCATTTTAGGATTGCAGATCCCTTAATCTAATCGTCATAAACAGTTCCCACACTCCGGACTGCTCGCATTTACTACTTCCTTCACCACTTCCTACGTCACAGACCTGTTTACCTCCCTTACCATAGCATTTTAGGATTGCAGATACCTTGATCCAATGGTCATAAACAGTTCCCACACTCCGGACAGCTTGCCTTGACTCCTTCCTTCACCACTTCCTACATCGTGGACCTGTTTTCCTCCCTTCCCATGGCATTTTATGATTGCAGATACCTCAATCTAATCGTCATAACCAGTTCCCACACTCCGGACAGCTCGCCTTGACTACTTCCTTCATCACTTCCTACGTCGCGGATCCGTTTTCCTCCCTTCCAATAGCATTTTATGATTGCAGATACCTTAATCTAATCGTCATAACCAGTTCCCACACTCTGGACAGCTTGCCTTGACTACTTCCTTCACCACTTCCTACATCGTGGACCTGTTTTCCTCCCTTCCCATGGCATTTTATGATTGCAGATACCTCAATCTAATCGTCATAACCAGTTCCCACACTCCGGACAGCTCGCCTTGACTACTTCCTTCATCACTTCCTACCTCGCGGACCCGTTTTCCTCCCTTCCAATAGCATTTTATTATTGCAGATGCCTTAATCTAATCGTCATAACATAAGTGTGGGAACTACACTCCGGACTGCTCGCCTTTACTACTTCCATCACCACTTCTGACGTCGCGGACCAGTTTCCCTCCCTACCCATAGCACCATAGGATTGTAAATACCTTAATCTAATGGTCATAAACAGTTCCAACACTCCCGACCGCTCACCTTTACTACTTCCTTCGCCACTTTTAACGCCAGGGACCTGTTTCTCTCACTTTCCATAACATTTTATGATTGCAAATGCCTTAATCTAATGGTCATAATCAGTTCCCACACTCCAGACTGTCACCTTTTGTACTTCCTTCACCACTTCCTACCTCGCGGACCCGTTTTCCTCCCTTCCCCCCATAGAATTTTAGGAATGCAGATACCTAAATCTAATCGTCATAAACAGTTTCCACACTCCAGACTGCTCACCTTTAGTACTTCCTTTAGCACTTCCTACGTCACGGACCTCAAGCTAGTGTCGTCATTTGATTATATTTATGATCTATACCGTTTCTGTTCTAATATCTGTGGAATAATGCTATCAGCTTTTTCTTCATCTGCTGCATTCAAAAGTCAACAGCTGATCATATGTCTTTGTTTATGTGTCAAATACTGCTTCCATAAGGATTACATTGAAACTTTGAGACCCAGTGGGGCGGATTCCTGAGAGTTATTTTTAACGCCATATAGATGTTGGCACTCACCGATATGGTATTTATCACCATCCAAAATTTGAAAACGATTGATTCAGCCGTCTAGGAGGAGTTTGCGTATTACGAAATGCATAAAAGTCGACGTATAAGAGCTTCGCTCGCTCCGCTCAATTAAGTCTTATCAGAAATAAAACATGTAGGCTACTCCCTTGTGTTGGTTAATCTATGGTCTTATCAAATCCTTGTTTTTCTACAAAAATAAAATTGTAAATCTATGATAAAAGATTTTTTTATAGAGATTACAGATATTAACATTCATTATTTGTTATTTTTCAGTTCCGAAACCAATATGACAGTGATGTCACGGTATGGAGTCCACAGGGTCGTTTGCATCAAGTTGAATATGCCATGGAGGCAGTTAAACTTGGTTCTGCTACAGTAGGGTTGAAAAACAAGACCCATGCTTTAATAATAGCATTAAAGAGAGCAACATCTGAACTTTCAGCTCACCAGAAAAAAATTATCCCAATAGATAGTCATATTGGAGTCAGTATTGCTGGCCTGACAGCAGATGCACGTGTTTTGAGGTAAGTTAATGGGTTTTTATGACTAAGCTTATATTTAAATACTGTCAGATACTTTGAAATGTGGGGCTACTATGAACGAAAAGTAAAAAAAAAGATGTTGACTCTATGTAACACACATTAAATATGTCAAATCCTGCATCTAATACACATTTTCTAATTCCTTGGTTTATTTACTTTAAGAATATATCATATCATATATCAAATTTAGTGCAATATTGTTTTAAACATTTTTAAAAAGATATTAACTGAGACCTCGTTTTTCCTTAAAAAACGAATCCTTAGTTACCTCAGGTAATTGGGTTGATATTCATGTCTCTTAAAAAAATTCAAACACAAAAAAATGTTTGGTACAGAGAAAGGTGCTGATCCGCCATCATCTGCTCATGGGTAGTGGTGAAATATGCCTCTAAAAAATAGATTTATCACTATTTCATAGGGCAAATCATTAGCTCATATGAGAAGGGAGCTGAGGTAAAATTCCTAAGGAACCAGGGAAATAATAAGTTCATCTGGCCCCCTCAGGAAGATTTTTACAACATAGCATACAGTGATGTGGTACAAGTTCTCCACGAACCGTCAATGATATCTTCACGAGGATCAGGTTTATTTACCTTCTATGCTGACCTCAGCAACTTCAGTATCATGTCAAAGAAATAAAAAGAGAAAAGAAAGAAAAAACTGTAAATATTGTAAATATATTAGTCGTTTTTAGTAAAATTTAGGCGCTCTTTTGGCGTCGGTTTTTGTGGTGTTTTTGAAGACACTTAAGAGCACTTTAAAAATATTGAACAATTATTTTTCACTCTAATATTCATTAATTACTTAATTAAGAAGAAGTGTAAGCTACCAGGCCTCAGGAAGAACTAGAAACAAATACACTGATAGAGGAGTAAATCACAAATGTTTCGGCGAGTTGTTTCAATTTTTACTTTGTAAACATTTTAATAGGCCTATTTCATATTTTTCAATATTTTTTGGATGTATTTGTTCATTGAAACCCAAGCTTTTTTATGGTATATCAATGAAGCCCCTAGGTTTAACAGTACCAGAGACATAAAAGGTTAAAGTTTATGTTCATAGAAGCTCCATCCACTTCCATGTTCTTACTTTGAACAGTCTCAAAAATATTTTTTATTTTTATCTATAACATCAAAATTTGTTTACAATGGACAAGTTATAGATAACATCCATCCACATAATATGGCGCAAGAATTAAATCTTTTGTAGGCTTATGTATAGTTTTTAAGTTATAAAAAAATCAAAATTTTTGTAACAAAGTAACTGTTCAAAATGAATAGTTTAAATTATTTATTATATCTGTAAATGAAAAACTGATGTTCCTTGGTGAACATTTAAGCAACACTAAAAATCTTTATTTATTTACAAATTGGAATAGAAGTATATTTTTTGTAATCATCTGTTTAAAGAAAGACAAAGTTCAATATAATTAAACCTTTAACTAACATAACATTTTCTCCGGGGCGAGTTTAAGTCATCAGCTTGACTAGTTTAGCAGTCGGTCTTCTCCAGGTGCCGGTGGACGTTTTGATGTCTGCCACCCTCACTTGGCCATCTCGTCCAGGGTAAACAGCTTCAACTACACCCTTTGTCCACCTTCCTCTGGCTTGGTTTTCATCAGTTATTAAGACCAAGTTACCGACTTGCAGATTTACTTGTTTTGTGTGCCACTTGGAGCGTTTGTTTAGTAAAGGCACATATTCTTTCAGCCAACGTTTCCAGAATTTGTCTGCCATGTCCTGTGCGATCTTCCATTGTCTATGCAGGTGCTTCTCCGTTATAATGACAGCTGGTGTGACTCTATCTGCTCCTCCCTGGAGAAAGTGGTTTGGTGTCAAAGGGAGCTCATCATTAGGGTCGTCTGATACAGGAAATAAGGGTCTGTTGTTGATTATGTATTCTACTTCACATAATAGAGTAGTCAACGTTTCTTCTTTAGGAGCTTGGGTGTTTAAAATCACTCTTAAACATTTCTTCACCGATTGTATAAGACGTTCATGCGCACCACCCATGTGAGGCCTCGCCGGTGGTAGAAAAGTCCACTTCATCATCTTCCCCACGCAGAACGTTTTAATTTGTTCGTTATCAAACGACTCAAGTCCTTTTCTTAATTCGTTCTCTGCGCCCTTAAAGTTGGTACCATTGTCTGATATCAATTCCGAAGGACAACCCCGCCTTGCTGCAAATCTCCTGATCGCAAGAATTGCCGAGTCTGTATTGAGAGAAGCTGCAATCTCCAAGTGTACCGCTCGCACTGACAGACATGTGAACAACACTCCATATCGCTTTTCTCTTCTGCGACCTATAGTGACTTCCAGAGGCCCAAAATAATCCACAGCCACACAGGTGAATGGACGTCCATAAGGTTCTAATCTGTTTGCCGGAAGAGGAGCCATCTCAGGATTTTTAGGTGTGTTTCTGCGCAGCTGACAATTCTTACAATTTGCCCAACAGCTCTTAATTGCTCGCTTCAAACGGATTACCCAAAATCGTTGTCCCAAATTATTTGCCACGGTTTCTTGACCTTGATGAGCTGCCTGTTCATGTTCATGTTGGATCAATAGGACTGTAAGTCGATGTTTAGGATCTAAAATTATGGGATTTTTCAGGTCTTGACTGATTTGGTTCCCATATTCAGTCCTTCCTCTCATTTTCAATAAGTTCCCTGTCAAAATAGGGCTTAGCTTATGAAGTCGACTTTCTCGAGGAACTGGCTTGTTCTCCTCAAGATTCTTCATTTCTTTAGGAAAAGATTCTAGTTGTGAAAGTCTGAAGCAGGTTTCTTCAGCTCGTTGAAGCTCTTCAACACCAAGACTCACATTTGTATTTCTCTCAGATTTACATCTCGTATTGGAAATGAATCGTTGCATCCATGCTACTGCTCTTATGAGTCTGGAGTATTTTGAAAATCTCTCCATATCGATAACATTTTCTTTGTTTTCAGGTAAAATTGCTAAGGCTACTTCATTGCAGTCTTCTTTTCTCGGAATGCTTTCAATTTTTGGCCATTCTTTTTCTTTTTTAAGTAAGAAGGATGGACCTTGGAGCCAACGGCAATCGTTCGTTAATGGAGTTGCTGATTCCCGTGTAGCTTCATCAGCTACATTTTCTGTCGTAGGTAACCACCTCCATTGATTTCTGTCTGAGTTGCTCAGTATTTTATCAACACGATTAGCAACATAGGCTGACTTTTGCTTTTGAGTTGCTTGAATCCAGCACCACACAATTCTTGAGTCCGTCCAAAAGTATGTTTGGTCTATTTCCATTTTGTGAAACTGATAGATCAAAGATGCAATTTGACTGCCTAATACAGCTGCTTGCAGTTCAAGTCTAGGGATGGTGGACGACTTTAGGGGAGCAACACGTGATCTTGCCAGTACAAAAACAACTTCCACGCAATCTTCTGGTTTTTCAGTCCTAAAATAAGCAACTGAACAAAATCCTTTCTCACTTGCGTCACAGAAAATATGTAATGATACAGTGCAGTTTGCAGTCAAGTTGTAGCATCGAGGTATTTTCAGATTTTCCGAAATCTTCACATCTTTCATCCAATTTCTCCATGCCTTTTCCAACTGCGCTGGAATTCTTTCATCCCACTGGACATTCATTTTCCACAGATTTTGTACCAGAATTTTGCCCTTCATTGTGATTGGAGTGATAAAGCCTATTGGATCATAAATGGACATCACAGCCTGGAGCACCTGTCGTTTGGTTGATGGCTCTTTTAGATCAACGACTTCTTTCTTCACTTTTACAAAGTTGATTTTGAAAAGGAAGAAATCCTCATGGAAATTCCAGTGTATCCCGAGTACTCGCTCTGTGTCATCAGTTGTTATTCCCAACATCTTCTTCTTTCAAGTAGTTTTTTGACCAAATTTTCTTTGGCAGACAGCTCATTAACTCTGGTGAATTGCTAATAAAGTTCCTCAAATTGAAACCACCTTTTTTACATATGTTTACAACTCCTTCTATTAAGCTCTTAGCTTCTTCCACAGATTGGTTGCTATCAAGATAATCATCCATGTAGAATTGTTGATTTACAGCTAGCTTTGCATCTGGATGTTCCTCTCCATGTTTTTCACTATTTTTTCTAGTTACGTAAATGGCACTGGTTGGTGAGCAAACTGCCCCAAAAAGCATTGATGTCATACACCACTCCTGTAATTTTCCGTCAGTTTCTTCCCTCCATAAAAAACGTAGTGAGTCTTGATCTTCTAGAATAATCTTTATTCTCAAAAACATCTCTTCAATATCTGCTGCGTATGCGATTTCATGTTTTCTGAACTGGAACAGAATACTTATCAGGCTATTGAATAAATTTGGTCCAGGTAGTAGACAACTGTTCAGGCTCTTTCCATGTGATTTTGACGCAGCATCAAACACAAAACGGAACTTGTCTGGTTTTCTGGGATTGTAGACAGGAAAGTGAGGAAGGTACCAGGTTTTCTCACTTTTGTTCTTCACCTCATCCAAATTTAACTTTTTTGCATATCCCTTTTCAGCATAACTTGCTATTTTCTGATGATATTGTTGACATAGTTTTGGGTCCTCTTTCATTTTATTTTCAACGTAGTTAAATCTCTTCAATGCAACGGAACGACTTTCTGGTAACCATGGTTTGTCTTCTTTCCATAACAAACCAGTTTGCCAACAACCATCTTCTGTTTGTGAACAGGTATTTTCCAATATTTTTTCTGCTCTAACTTCTTCATCACTTTTATTGGATTCCTTAATCGGGCAGTCGATAAAATCCCTCTCAAAACTTTCTTTAACTAGTGTGTTAAGCTCCAACATATCTGAATTTGTTTCATGTTTAAACATAACAAAGTCGTTGTCTATACGAGTTTGATAGTTTACATTTCCAGTAGGACCATTTATTGTCCAACCTAGTTTCGACTTCAAAGCAATCGGTGCATTTGTAGGTCCAATGATTACTTTCAGAGGCACTGTCAAATGTACATGTTCATGTCCAATCAGTAGTC